ACACATCAGGTCACGTAAATGCGGAAGATTAGAGCTGCTACAAGAGAGTAACACACACAAAGAAGAAGAAGGTTTAGGACGACAGGTATTTGATTGGAAAGAGGGCCCAAACCACATCAGAGCACCTGCCAGCCACCCAGCTTCTTTTTGTAAGTCAATGTATTTGGAACCTTCCAACTGCCCCCTTTGTTAATTGTCTACTTTGTGACGGTGACGTCACAATTGGTGTCTGTTTGGCGTCAGTAGTCCAGTGATTAGACTACCGGACTTGTGATCGTGAGGTTGCAGGTTCGGGGGTTCGAGCTTCAGACCGACGTTGTGTCATTGGGAAAGGCACTATGCATGAATTTTCCTCACTTCACTCGGGTGTGAATGGGAACCCAGCCATAGACAGCGAAAGATCTTATTATAAGTATGCTAGTGTTTTAGCGCCTTTATAAACAGCAGTGTGCGCTGTATGCTTCCCAGGAAGTTGAGATTGTTTCAGAAAGCTTTCAGGCCATGATATTGATCATGGTATTGTTACTCAATACTTTTGTCAAATTTTTTTCTCAACTTACCGTACATAGTAGTTGAGAATGATGTCTGAAAATAGTCTCTTTTGTTGTTGTTGTTGTTTTGTTGTTGTTGTTTTTTACTATTTAGAGACTTTATAGGCTTTCAGGTTTCTTGGGTGATTTATTTTGAGTTCGAGTAAAGAGAACCAGTGCGTTGACAGAGTAATGGTCATTTGATGCTCTGAAATATCATAAATAGACAGACAGACAGACAGACAGACAGACAGACAGACAGACAGACAGACAGACAGACAGTCAGACAGACAGACAGACAGACAAACCAGAACCTGTGTCTATTATGTAACAATTACCATGCACTTTGCCGTCACATGCAAAAGACTTGAGTTTGATTCAGGTGTGGGTAGAATGTTATTGAGTTCATCAGTCTTTCAGGTATGATATGGTGTCCTTCTCAGCCGAGATTAGCCTTGATAAGCAAAGTCAAAGCCCGCCTTCTAAATAACTCAAGGTCATTGAATAAGTGGCTTTCTCTTGCATTAAGCTGCGAACAGATGTTTGAGAACAGAAAAGGTCATCGACACCACAATTGTCTTTTAGTTTGATTATAGCAAGAGATTTATCGACACTTGCAACACAAACAGTTCATATAAGCACCGAATATTAGAACTGTTATTGGAGTAGAAGATGCAAACAAAAGAAGGAAGAGAGACAAGGACAGTAGATGTTTGATGGGAATGATAGATAGAAATTAAACCACACTAGAGCGCCCGCCAACCCCCCTTCGTTAATCAATTCAGAAGGAGGTAATGATACGGCCGACAGACATGACAGAGGGAAAGAAAAAGAAGTAGGGCCTATCAAGGGTACCATTAAACCATCTGCTTACGTTTAGAACATGTTTGCTTCAGCGGACAACAATTGGACATTTAAAAACAAAGCAATACAAAAACCGAGCCAACAGCACAGTCGTATAGAGAACACGTTTATTACCCAAAACACACTCTGTGTTCGATAAAAAAAGAAATCCTTATAATGCTGAACCTTTGTTTAAAAAAAATCTCCCACGTTAAAAATGACCTGATGAAATATAATATGTAAGGCAGCGTGGTGGAATCAGGCTCTCGTCAATTTTGGGGCACATTGAGTTATTG